CCTTCAGAAGAGCATACACTAGTGCAGCTATAGCAACATTACACATGTACTCCATACATCCCCAGCACAGGCAGGATTTAGACCTCTGAACACGTACATTTGACGAAGCTAAGAAGAGACTACATTTGATGTAAACCCATCAGTTGTTAATCTGCTCAGTGGAGGGAGAACTCCACTTATGCAAAGTCCCAGTTAAGACCTACACTTGGAGCACACAACTCCTCTGTATTCCTTGTGTATTTATTATTGTAAAGACACCTTATTTTAACCCAGAGAGTTTCAAAACTCAACTTCAGAATAAAATCTGCATTCCAAAAGAGCATTTAAGGCATCTAAGCCAAGAAATACACCAACCCAAAACCAAAAAGGCTCTTAGAAAAGCAGCCTCAAAGACAACAGACTTATCTGCTCAAATATTCTGGCATCTCAGACATGTAAGCTAGGAACCTGCTTTCCTCTGACAAGACCTAAGATCCAGTCAGGCTGAAGACCCAAGTGCTATGATGGCAAGGTAGACCTAGATGTTTAGCCTTTCATAGGCTTTGTAAATTCCCACTAGTCACCTACATGCCTAGTCCCTGAACATTTTTAAAATTTGGCCTAATGAGGCTAAGTCGGAAGCAGCTCATGGTGTTAGCCATTAACATTTGTGTAGAGAGGAAGTTAATTTTTATCCTTTCTGAAATTATCTTTTCAAACTTTTATCCTCTTGTCAGGCATTTTCAAGCTGAGATTGGCTTTTGTAGGCCCTTTTCTAATTTCCTTGAAACTTTGATTGAGGATGACACCTCTTCCAAGGACAATTTAAAACTGATGCTTCCAGCTGGCAATTGCCAATCACCCCATCATACATGTTAGTTATACATTCTGCAGACCTGTGGGGTTTTGACTTAACCTCATCTCACTTCTGACAATCTTACAAAGGAATTATTTGCAGTTGCTACAGCATGGGATGGATTTGAACTTAGGTCAGGGAGATTGAGTTAAAGCAGAAGGCATCCTCATGCTATAATCATACTGACTTTTCCAAAAAAAAAAAAAAAAATGACTTAGCCACACACACCAAAGGACTGAATAATGGAAGAGGTGTCCTTTTGCAATGGGGATTTTCTTCGTGACAACAGGTTATGCTTCACTGTCAAAAATATCTAAAGGTCACGGGCACCACAACCTACAGCAATTCATTTCAATCTCTGAAGAATTGCTTTAAAGTCTCCCTCTGTTACACCAATTTGGCAGCTTAAATTCAGCTGCTATTTTCCAGCTCATCCACTCACTTCATAAACCACATGTGTTTTGTGCTGCATCCCATGATGCTGACTCATACAGCCCCAGGTTCATTTATATACTGCTAGGTGGTGAATACAAATGTTAGACAGCTGTAAAGATGCATTTTATAAAGATCTGCATTTAACATGCTGCTCCACTGATGCCAAGTAGATACAGAGATGCATCGTTAACAGTAGAGTAGTGCTATGTCCTTGGAAAGAAGAGCAACATCAAAACAAACTGTATCCTATTAAACAAATTAGGCATGGTAAGGTTAGATCAGTTCAGTCTCAGTAGGAATGGAGGACAACTCTGTCCATATCAGTGTAGGTTCAGGGCAGCCCTTGCACCAGAATTACACACAGTAGAAACCTCATCTAAGTGGGCAAGACTTGGCACCACTGAATTCCAGACCTGTTCACTGCTTTGAGCTGATGATCATATGTGAAAGTGCAGATCTGAAGAGTCAAACTCCTCCTAAGCACTGCTGCACCCGAGATCAATTCCTCTGCCTCTTTGCCCTACATAGTACTGCCTCAGGCATACAGCTACAGTACGAGCCATAGGGCATCCCCTCCAGAGAAGTCTGGGTATAGTTATCTTACAACCCTAGCACACATCCTCTACTATCTGTGCTGGAAAGAAGAGTGCCAGACCCAATAGCTGTCTGCAGAACCCCATGCAGTCCTGGGGAACCAGTGTCATGACCTGCCTCTGCTCAGACACCCAGCTCTGCTTTCACCTGCTCCCAACAGAGGCTACAGAAACACATAATCCTACAGTATTCTAAACATACTGTATTTTCCATTATCACATTCTGTCTTGTAAGGGCAAACCACAAGCATTTAACAGAGAGATGACACCCCAAAGTGAAGCCAAAGTCACAGAAATAATCCAAGCATTTAATTAAAAACAAAACAAAACAAACAAACTCACTACTACCACCACCACCCACAATTACCAGGTGTTTCTTTATAGACCATTGTAAAACAAGATACTGGTGTCAATAACTTTACTTTGTTAACAACTATTGTGAGGTGTGGATGGGGTGGTCTAAACAAATAAGCACATCATTATTGGATTTCTTCTTTAAAGACATTATGCAAATTGTTCCTTTAAAACCCTAACACAAATCTCCAGAGCAGCAGAACAGAAAAAAACAATGCTGGAGTCTTAAGTGGAGCAGAGGGAGTAGCTTTAAGAGGTAGTAGTGTGCCTTATTGGAATAAGCTGTTTAGTGTTAGACCGAAATGACTCATTTCGTAGCTCTGTCGCACAAAAAAAAAAGTGCAGATTTCAACTTCCTATCCAATTCAAACAGAGCCTCTCAGTACGAATGTTTTGCCTTTAGTTCCCAGCCTGCAAGGAAGAATGTCATCAACAACATGACTATAAAAAAAATAAAAAATGAATTACTCAGATTTGTTCTCTTCATGCATTCAAAGTTAAACAAACACTTCTGCATTTCACTGCTGTTGTCTCAAAGTCACAGCAGTGAAATCTGGATTCTTCTCTGGCTCCTCCATAGATATGCAGCTTTTTATTGTGCTCAGCTAACAATAAGAACCTCAGCATCCTTAGTAATGTGCAAGCAAGGCAGGACCCAGCACCAAGTTTACCTGCCTGGCAGCCTTTTTGTCAAATTCAGAATGAATATATTAAGTAAACTTGGGTATAAAACAAATAAGACAACTATACAATGCTAAAAACAGAAGTATGGATTAAGATACTGTTTCTACCTCATGCATGTTGGAAATAAACATTTCAAATTGTAAAGATTCCCCATAATCTAATTAAGTATTTTAAGGGATTGTTCCACTTTAACTTGCACAAACTACTACCTCACATTTTCTGTTTAGTCTACTCTCTTGTGAGTACCAGAAATACTGTCTTACAAAGAATGGTAAACGCTCATCATCTGTAACATGCACAGGTTCTTCTTGATATAAAAATAAATCTCACAAAGGAATCCATTTTAAAATAGTCACTAGTGGATTTATTGCTATGCCTTGTTCTTCTCCCCTGGGCTCCCTGTGAGGGCATATTATTTTATTTTAAACACTAATGCAGTTTCCACAGTTTCTTGCAGTCAGTAACATCAGCAACATCTTGCACGCAGGCAAAAATTGATAGAAACTCAAACACTGCATTTTAATAAAAATCAAATTACATCAATCTCATATTAGGTGGGACTTGGCTACATTACAAGCAGAATGCCCACTGGCTGTGTTGTCAATTTACATAAGTAAATTTGCTTCCTCTGCACGCAAGGAATGGTCTTTCTTGATTACCACGCAAAGCAGGTGATCCTGCTTGCCCAGGAGAAAAATTTGCAGACAGCCTTTCAGTCAACTCTCATTGACATCTCAAACATTGAGTGCTTTACCTGTCATTATGTAAAAATGTTAACACATTTCCATGCTACTTGTAAAGGCAGATCTACACATACAGACTAAATTAACATAGTCTGTAATAAGCTTCACTAATCCATCAGCTAAGAACAGATTGACATTTAAAACTGTCATGAAAAGTCAATGCCTGAAAAGGATTTATCTGCAGAGGCTCAAACCTTCTCAGTTGCTCAGGATGATAATAAAAGGCTATAAGAAGGAAACAAAGACTAGGGAAACCCTGACTCAAGCAAAGTCAATGACAGAACCACAAAGCCCTCAGAGAAGCGGGGATTTCATTCCTGGTACTTCAGGCTGTGCCCTGAGCTGGTGTACACAAGCAGTTCACAACTGCCCTCTCCCCCTCCCTTCTCTTCACTTACTTTCTGATTTTATACAAACTTAAGCCATGTGCCCACGTTTAGACATAACGTTTTGTGGTTTTCCAGGATTATTCACCCATCTGAGTGCAGCAGGTACACATGAATTTCACTCACTTGAAGACTGCTGTCCCTTTGGGACAAACATCCTATCAGAGGTGTGTTTCCTACAGTGTCCCACCAAGATTATGAACAGCCCCTGGGGCCAATAACAGAGCACATCATAAGAAATGCCACTGTAGTTTCCCTTTCCTGCAAAGAGCTTCCATACAAGAACCTGTCTGTGAATTTTGTGTGCATAATACACTGATCCAGGCTTCTACATGATGTTAGAATATGAATAATCAAGAAATTAAGGCTGAGCTAATTAGACTGCATCCTGGGGACAGGATTTACAACACTGTTACTCCCAGCAGCTCGAGCTAACTCTGTGCAACCCCTCTGACTTTTTGTGCTTCTTTCACATCTGGGTTTTCCCCAGCAACCCTCATACTCACCCATGACCCCTTACTCTGGATTTATTCCTGAATAGCAGCTCTCTCCATACACATATCGAACACTAGAAATGACTTAAAGAAGTTTGATTTCCCAGCTAACCCCACAACATTGAAAGAAGCTTCTGCTATTGTTTCCTGAAGCACTCAGTTGAGATCCTTGGTGCTACTAGACTGCATAAGGCCTTAGATTAACGTCTTTTCTACTTTTTCACTGATGAAGGAGTTGTCAAATAAATGTGCCCTTTAGCTAGCTGTCAGGGAAAAATAAAGCCTCCTGTGGCATTCAGAAAAAATAGCACAGAGCAGAAAGCAGGATTTTGTATCCCAAAGTGGATAAATCTATATTAACTGAAAGCCAGCTTCCATTTGAAACAAAAAAGCATCTCCTCACTGAAAACCCAGAATCTTTTGTGAACACATTATTATTCACTGAAGGTCCCACTATCTAGCATTACAAATCTTACCTTTTCTGTTCCCTCCAGATGTTTTACCATTCCTATACCTTCTCCAAAGATCCAAAGAGGCATGAAAAATTTTTACACTAAATGGCACTACTGAAGCTACCATTAGAAATGATGGGTTCCACACTCCTTTCACCACCACCAACAAACCAGAAATGGCAGAGAAGGAAGAATCAGCTCCTCAGCAGCTAAAACAATTCAGTTCCTCAGCAGGTACAGTGAGTCCCAGTTGCCCACAGTGAGCCCAAGCACCCCCCCACAAGCCCCAGGTGTCAACAATGTGCCCAAACACACCCAATAAACCCCCAAGCCTCCTGTGAAGTCACATGTAGGGCAAAGTTGGTCTATGTTTATATTTCATAACATAGAGAAGCAGCTGCTCAGGATATCTTGTTCTTATGAAGGCCCACAATGCAGAGCTTTAGAAGGGAGCTGCCTAAGGAAGACATACAAATATGGAGAAAATTAAGTGGAAGCATAGGGGAGCATTCCCCCAGTATGCCCCAGTTTATCAATGCCTGAGAGTAGGGCTCCAACTGCTGCAGAGCTATTGCTTTGGAGAATTTTCATACCCTATACTGCCCATGCACTGCTAAAACCTCCCTTATCTTCATCTGAAGAGTTAAGGATTTTGGAGATCCTTACTGTTGCAAGGCTGTTCCCCCAGGCAAAGCAGAACTGTGTGAGGAAGGGGAGAATGAATTACAGAACCTGTGTGAGCTGCCATCAGGAAGTACTAAATTAGACAGACATGTCACAATGGTTCTCACAATAAATAAAAGTAGACAAATATTTTTACAACTGTATAAACTTGAAACGGTTTTGCTATTAGCCAGTTTGCACCATTGAGCCCAAATTATGAAGCAATCCTGGAAATGTGAATGAGGGAGCAATGTTTTCCTTCATAGTGTATATTCTACAGTGAACACAAAAATTAGCAGATGTTTTCACAATACTAGTTACTTCTTTATCTATAGCACTACTTCATTGCTGGAGGACATTCAGAATCAATCTGTGCTTTTACCAGATGTCTGCGAAGTAGTAGCTACTCCTTGATCCACTTGACTTCTTTGATGCCTCCAGATACATTCAGCATACATTTGGAAAGAGACATTTGTATTGGTTCTACAGTTTTATGCTGATCGTCATCCTGCTAGTTGTCATAAATAATAGGGTACTCTGTAAGAGATGCGATTCTGGGTAACAGGACCAAGCAACTGGAAAAGATTCTCCCTAGTATAGGGTTTCAGATTTAAATAGAGATATTGGCTAGACTGGATGTGTTTGCAAACCTATTTCTTTAGGCAAAGATTAGAAAGGCAAGGAGAATCACAAAGTCAATTTTAACTGTGAATGTGCACTTTAAAATTCTAATCTGTACTTTTACCACACATGAACAGGAGTAAAGGAAGAAGCTGGACTGATAGGATTGTACCTTTAACTTTGTATCTTGAGCCCTAAGCAGAAATGTAGCCCAAACAGATTGCTAAGATGTGACATTGAAGGCTTCTCCCCTGAACTCTGCTCATTTCAAATGCAAAAAATAATCTTGAGAGCCTCAATCAAAAGCACCACTATGATAAAGCAACACAAGGAAAAAACGCAAATGGATTGAAATCTCCCAGGTAACTGGAAAAATCTGTCCGTTTTCAGATGCAGAAATTGAAGGTAACATCTGACAAAAACAGCTATGAAGACTTGCCAGAGCCAGCATCCAGCCCCAAGGTTGGTTCGGGTGCCCATGCTAGCAACCCTTGGGCACCATGCGCAAAGGAGCAGGGGCATAGGCAGCAGCAAGGCACTTTCAGTTCAAAGCTTGTAGAGTATTTATGGATTCATCAAAAGCTTCATTTCACTGAATGCCCTTGGAGATACTTGTTGGTCATTCCTTACCTCCCTTAGAGAAAGGAGAGGGTAAAACATCACCACACAACCCAGAGGAAGCAAACAAAATAGCTATTTGTGTGTGCAGCTCACACATCAGCCTTTATTTTTGTTTTGCAGACTGCTGAGGAGGCCAGGGATGGAGGTGAGTATATTCAGAGGCCATCCCTTTGTGCAGCCACGTGTTCAAATTGCTGGGACAGGCCTCAATGTGACAGATGGATGCCTCTAGCTATTTGATATACTCACTGAATGAATAATAAATAAAATGGCAGTGCAGTGGCATTTTTAGGGCCTGGGACTCTACCACCTCCCAGAGAAACAAGCTACTCATTTTCAGACATATCACTTCAGCTTTAAAAGTCTGAGAGCCTTTTTTCAGTGTTAGGATGGGGTAGAAATTGATGAAGCGTAATTTCAGTTTCTGCTGTGGAGAAACAGTCCTTTTTTTGGGCACAAATATCCTCACCAGAGCTATCCTGGGCCTACCAGGAAACAGCACGGCTCTGGCTACAATTAAACTACAGTACAAGTAACTGTCTAAGACTTGTCTGATAATGAAAAGCAGTAAAAACAAGCTATAGCATCTTCACCAAAAGCCTATTGCGCTGTAACTAGTGGAAGAATTTAAATGAGATCCTTAACATACACATGTATTATCAGAACTGCTTTTCTTCCACATGGTGTAGGAGGATAGAGCGATGACCATAAATACAGGCATTAAATGGGCTCCTTTCTATTACTAAAGGGACAAAATTTTATCAGCAAGTTGGGTCTATTTAATATACATCATAGTGCCTGTAAAAGCACCTGGTAAATCCTGGCCAAATATAAGCTCATTGTTCTCCCTGACTTACCATCCCCTTAATATCAGAGTAAATACTTTCCCAAGGAAGCTGCAGCCGCTGCTCCTGAGGTGGTTCATAAAAACTCAGAGCAGTCTCCAATTCTAACACGAACATGCCACTCAGTTTTGCTACAGATTTACACCACTCCCCCACCCAAGACATTTGTTGTAATGACAAATGCCACTGTCTGATAGCAAAGTCATGGCGCCTACCAAAACACAGGTGTGACTTGCTTATTTCATTAAAAACAAACAAATCATATTTATGCTTGATTTCTTTTAAAGCTATTTAGATGAAATTTTATAAATGAGATCTTATTTAATCTATTACTGTCATCACTAAATTGCTGCTAGCTAGGCTTGAGGTAATAGCTGTGATGTGCCTTGATGTTCAGCTATTACAGTTAAATGCAGATATTTTTACAAGAATTGAGTGGTGCCTTGCAAACCAGGCTAATTTAAGGGCAGAACATCACTGTTTGCCTTTGCAGAAGTTGTACACTGCCTGGTCCCTACCTGCTCTTCACTCCAGACAAAAACTAACAAATGCCAGCTTCTCCTCCAGCTTGGATTATTCTCCTTTCCCTGTGTTTTGCACATCAGGAGAAAGCTACTCAAAAGTGTCACCCACTGCTCTCACCGGGGCAGGCCCACACTGAACGCTGCCATGGGACACAGTAGGACCCAGAGGTGACAGCTGTCTGCACAGCCAGAAGGTATCTGCACCTCAGGGATGTGGCCAGGTTCAGGAAGGAACCACAGGACATGTGTTCCAGCAAACTGTCAGCCCTGAATTGTGATTTACAGAAGTTAAGCCTGATCTTATTCTCAGTAAAGTCAATTAAACAGTTATTTTTCTTTCTGAGGGAAGAGCAGGTACAGCAGTCTACTTTGGCTACACTGTCACAGGGAATAGATGGCATATTTGCAACACAGGGAAATATTTCATGATTCTTTGCCAATGCTGCTCCCAACGCACATTCCCGCTACCACCAAACAAAATTGTACTGCCTACAGTATCTCCTCAAGACTTTAAGATCACCTTATTTTCTGCCAGAAACAACTCACTTATCTGAAAAGTAAAATGTTATTGAGGTTCTAGAGCATTTCACCTGTGACAGGCTTCCTCCCAAGCACAAAGCAAGTCCATCCAGTTTATCCACCCCTGGACAGAGAGCTGGCCAAGAGAGCAGCCAGATCTGTTGGTGGATGTTACTCAATGTGTGCAATGACAGACCTCACCCTGTCCTTTTTTCTTACTAAAATCTTTGAGATGTGCAGACTTTACAACATATGGTAACATGCATATCTGCAGTATACCTGTGTCCCCAGGAAACTTCCATCCTGGAGTCCAGATCTGTAAGGTGTAAGGTCAGGGATGATAAACCTCATTTGCAAGAACCATTCTCTTCATGGACAACCCCATATGAGTCAATTTTTCTAGGCAGAGAGTATTTTTCCCATGGGATCTCTCTCTGTAGGAGATAGTGCATACAAACCACTTTCTTTACAATATAAGTGTATCTCCAAATTCATTTGTTCTTTCTTGAGGAACTGATCTCTGTTACAGGGCTGGGAAGATAGCTAGTTAGAAATTACCTAATATAATAAGAAAACCTAAAGCATAGGAGAAGAACCCTCTCTATTCTTTCCCAGCCTTCCAGAAACTCTAATCCTAACAGCTTGGCTCAGCTCCTCCCAAACCCTTCCATCAGTCCCCTTTCTATAAAACAAATAAAACTGCCTGTCCTGGCAATATTTAGCAAAATCATTCCTAGACATTACTGCATTTGAATGAGATGGAACTGTTTAGATAACAGAGTCCTGGCAGTGACTTAAGTGACTTACTTAAGTAAGTGCCTTACCGGGCCCTCTGCCATGAGTTACTATGGTCCCAAATGGGATCAAGGATTTTTTCCATGGCTTCCAGCACCACCAACCTGAACAATGGCCATTAAACATGAAAAAGGAAATCAAAATCTCTACTAGAAATTGTTAGGAAAGATTTTGCACTGAGAGAGACTTCAGCATGCCTTTCTGGCCTGTCACCTGCAGGAATTTGCCATGCTTCTCCTTCAGGTCAGCATGGGCAGTGGGATGAAGTCTGTGCCACCCCAGCCTCTGTCCTGACAAAGCCTCCAGGTGACAGCCAAGTCCTGTCTGGTCACAGGACCAAGATCCTTGTGATGGCCACACTCACAGAGCACCATCAAGCACTGCCAATCCCCTCTAAATTCACACTTAGAACTGATACATGTAATCATAATTGTGTATAGATACACCTGAAACCAGGCTGCAAGTTGTATGCATGTTTTGCACACTAATTCAATAATTACATTACAAGACTTTTATGGTTTGTCTCCTTTAATACAAGATCTGCCCCTAGGGAATTAAAATCTCTATAACTGAAAACGCACAGCAGTGTCTAGGAAAGCACTGTAAAAAATTGTACTGACAGCCTTTTTAAAGGTCACT